AAAAAATATCATGCACCAAGATGAACTGCTGTTAGTTTTTTTTTTTTTTTTTCAAACAAACCAGAATTGTAACTAAATGCAGGGGAAAATATATTTAATCATGATGGTCATTATCATATGTAGATTAAAAAAACTCAGCAACAGTGGATAAATGAAGGAAAGTTCTGTGTGCCTATGTGTTGTGGATTACTTGTGAGTATCCTTTGCAATTTGAATCTTTCGAAAAGAAATGAGGTGGCTCAGCTCTCACAGGTGGGATTGCAGAATTAATCAGAAGCTGACATTATGGTCTTCTCAGTGGTTGATTATACATATTTATTTGTTTATTTACAGCACATCTTTTATTTTTATTGCATTTTGGCCAGTGACTATGAATCAGTTGACACAATTTACAGTTTGTCTTCTTTTACGGATATTACTGACAGGAAATATGTTGCTAAATGTAATTCTAAGCACTTCAAGTCAACTTTATACTCACTGGTATTACACACTGTGTTAAAAAATCAGATTAAAGCATTGGCAGAGTCATACTGCTGATAGTAGGGAGTGATAGAGAATTTTCCTGGTAATACCATCTGCCATTTCCTTTTTAAGAACATGGTTTCCTGGCAATCTAATTCTTATCAGTCCRGTTCCTGATTAAAAGACAAATAAACCCTGCAGTTGTTAATGTCTCCAGTGATAAATATGTTCACTAAATCAGACTTCTAATTATAAAAGGATTTTGAATATACAATGTTTAATGACTATCTTTCTACCCGCATGTCATTTTTCTTATCTATTGTAACAGAACTGAATTCAAATGGAAAGAYTTAACTTGTCTCTACTGAGCAGAAAGGCAGGATTTAGAGCCTTCAGTATATTGCCCATCTCATTTCACATAACTAAGCCAAGTTTTTGTTCCATTCTTGGAAAAATTCTACACAGGAACAAATAACACATTTCCCTTGATGTCCAGATTAATGTTATCTTTCATTAACTTCATTTCCTATTCAAGACATTCCTATTCAGGACATTCCTTTTTCCTTCTACGTGTTTATGCCTTGAAGACAATGTTCACATGTATGATTTYTTTTATTGTCTCTATAATTATCTTTGTAACCCCCTAAGTTATTTTCACTTTAAAGAATTCTTGGGTGCCAAAAAGGAATTAGAAATAAGTGCACTAATAAATATAACCGCCTTGTGCTGTAAAGAAAAGAGAATATGAGCTCTCTGCTTAGATATATTGACAGCAGCACACATCCAATTTTCAGTTCATTTGCACTATTGAATTCTCCTCTCTCCCTCTCCATTTTCCATCCTASTTTTTCTGCAGACTTTTGTCACAATGGGAATCTGCTGGGCTTAATTCATCTCCCAGTGCATTTCATTAGATCAGTTACTGTCTTTGGCAGCCTACTTACCCAGGAAGTCCAAAGCCCAGAGCTGTGACATTAATCAGACACTGTGAGACTCTGGTTCTGGGGACTTAATTATTGATGTACAATTTTGTGTGATGCTTCAATGAAATCCACATAGGAGTATCAGCATCATACTTATTTATAAAGTCCCCACAAGAATTTGATAGTGTCCAGGATAAAATGCTGCACTTTCTGTCTCCAAGTGGGAGCAGATTCTCTGGGAAAAAGTACAATCCACATAACTTCTGCAAATATTTACAAGTCTAGGCTTTGCCACATCATCTGTTGGATTGTTCCACATTAAAAGTCTACTTATATATATATATATATATATATATATGTGAATATTTGTTTACATTTCCTAAAAGGCAATCTTAAAACGGAATTTTGAAAGCCACTCAGTACATACATATTTTGCCAAGAGGCAGCTGCTCTCACCCAAAGTTGTTTGTTTATTCTTTTTTTAGTGATGAACTGACTGAAGGGGAAGAGCTGAGGTACTAAATGAATTTAGATTGCAGTGAAGGCTTTGTGCAGTATTTGAACAAAAATTAAGCTTTTTTACCATATTTTTCTTCAAAACTTTATGTATAGATTCCCTGTGARAATTCACAATACTCGACGGCATTCTTTAAGATTAGGTGGAGTGGTTCCTATTTGATATTTTTTTTTCATGCTAATATTTCTTTCTTTAATTAGCTCTTGTTACCTTTTTGATTGTCTTTAGATAAAAACATGTTGTACTTCTTGCAGCAAGCTTAAGACATAACAAAGGCTTCCCACTGTGCAGCTGCACTAATCATCAGGGTTTAAATTCTAATTATGAAACTTCTGAAGCATTAAGGTTCATATCTAACAATAAAATGRTAATAACAACAAATCTTTCTCTTTAAACCACTAAGAAGATTTACTATATACATTTGGATCRACAGGAATATGCAGTGTACTTCTGTTTCAGTAGAACTGTACTGTGTAGTTTAACCACCAAAGATTATTTTTCATTTTGTTGAATGAATGAATGAATGAATGGACTAACTACCTAGCAGGTTAGTTTGGGACATGAAAATATTATGATTTTCTAACCCATGTCTTAAAAATCTGACACTTCCCATTTGTTATGAGTGTTGAAGAGTGACTGGAAAGTGTCTGCAACATGGTGGTGTTCGGCCAAAGGTTGRACTYCACAATCTTGGTCTTTTYCAGCCTTAATGATTCTGTGATTCTAAGATCACATCATCAATCAAAAGAAATGAGAGGAGAGGAACTGCACAAAGATTACACAGAGAAAAGCAGCAAGTGAAAATGAGAAAACATCAGGCAACAATAGAGAGAACAATGGGGGTTTCAGGGATTTCGATTTTGATTTGAAAGAGAAAGCTGTAGTAGTAAAAGCAATAAGTTAATATGAGCAGAAGTTGATATTGTAGGATACCACTTTTAAAATACTGTCATTCTTAGAGTCATGACCAAAAAAAAAAGAGAACTCTAAACCTCACACAAGATGTGTCGACTGCATTTTTAAAATTATTATTGTTGCTGTTCTATTTTTATTACTTTGTAAATCATCAATTTTAAGGATAAAGACATTTTATCAAGCTAAGAAGCGTGAAAGGGTTAGTTAAAAACAAAAAAAAACAAACTCCCCCCCAAATACAAAGAAGCCCAACCTATGAAACAAATTTTATGCAAGTGCCTTTAATCTTCACTGCCATTAAAAAAAAAAAAAA